GGCATGTGGTGCTGGGGGATCGAACCGCGGTCCCTGTGCTTTGCCAAGCTTGTTCCAAGTAGGTACTTTAGACCACTGAGCCATCTTTCCAGCCCCATTTTCTTTGAATATTAAAAAAAAAAAAAACCTGTCTTCTGGATTCTGTTGCTACCATGGAGAGGTCAGTTTTTATTCAGTTTATTTCAGAAGGAGCTATCTTCTACCTAGGCTCTTTGTAAGATCCACTCAGGCTGGGGAGAGCTGGGGAGATAGCTCAGTAGAATGAGCACCTGCCTGGCAAGCGCAGGGTCCTAAATTCAATCCCTGGTACCACCAAAAAAAAAAAAAGATCCACTCTTTATCTTGGAATTCTGAAGGATTATGATGCTAAGTCTGGGTGTAAATTTTCTTATTTATCATGCTCTGAGATGCATTGCGCTTTTTAAGCAAGGTTTTGCTGTAGGAAGCCCTTGATTTAAATATTGTCCCTTCTCTCTTTCCTTTCTTAGGTGTACGTAATATCTTCTTGTCCATCTTTCACATTATTTCAAGAGTTGTATTTTCCTTTACTCTGTGTTTGGTATTACCAATGTCTGGAAACTTTTGGATTGTGTTGCGTACTGTTCTTGTTGCCTCACGGTGGCAGCTTGTTTTTGTTTTCTCCCACACCAGTACTAGGGATTGAACCCAGGGACTTCTCACTGAGCTGCATCCTCAGCCTTTTTAGTTTTCATTTTGTGCAGGGTCTACAGGGTCTTACTAAGTAGATTGGACTCAGTGATTCTCCTGTTTTCAGCTCTCAAGAGCTGGGATTACAGGTGCGCGCCACCATGCCATCTCAGCACGCCCTGGGATGGGACCGGCACAGCACATGGGGGATGGAACCCCTGCTGCTACACTCAGCTGGAGCAGGTGCTTTAGTCTGCTGTGCCATCTGTCCTGCCTTTGAGACACATTCCTATCAAGTTGCTGTGTACCTGGTCTCAAGTCAAACTTGCAATCCTCTTTGCCTCAGCTCCTCATGGTACTGGGATCACAGGCCTGAACCACGATGCCTGGCTAATAGTATCATTCTGAGAAAGAATAAAGTAGGAGGGCCTGGGAGATAGCTCAGCAACATAAGCTCC